GGGGTCCCAGGATAGGCTGTCGCACAATTTCTATAATGCGGCTTTAACTTGAGAGGAAGGGTCGTGATGGTCGTGGGAAAATGGTGTGTTTGGGTGACCATTCATTACCGGTCTTAAAATTGATCCCCATCTCCTGTTGAAGAAGAAAAAACAGGAATCACAAAGGGGTGGTTATAGCGAGTGGATCATGGACACCCCTTATGTGACTCCTGGAAAGACCTGCGGCAAAAAGCATGCTCAGAGGTTTCCACTCCGGAACTTGCCATCTCTCTCTCTCTCTCTCTCTCTTGCTCGCTCACTCACTCTGCGTGTCCCACATCCTCGAAACCAGCTCTACCAACCAACCTGGCCCCATTTCCCTAACTCAACAGGCCCTGTCGACAGGGTGTCGAAAATGATCCTCACGCCTCAAACATCCTCAAGCCAAGAAACTCCTTGACTTTCTTTCATCTTCTCCTTGCTGATGGTCTTCACTGCCCGCTTCGCACCAGTGGCGCGGATCCTGCCCAAGCGGACGGTGCCAAAGGCACCTTTGCCCAGTTCGCGCTCGATCGTGTAGACACTCTCTAAGGTACCTGCGAGGGCGTCGTGGGGCTTTTGGAGAGAGAGAGAGAAGAAACAAGGAAAAACCCACGAGATTGGATGCCTCAAACATCCTCAAACCAAGATCTGATGACTTTAGTTCTTCATTAACGAGGAGGTCATTAATTCCGTTCATGTTACATGTTTTAATCATATGTATATACCTTGAGGAACTGTCAGGGGCCAGGGGTGTGATCACTCTTACTCTCCACGTTCACACTGAACAAAAGGCACCTGGATTGACCGCCGGTAGAACATGGAAGCTCTTTGACCCTGCATGCAAGCACCAACCCAGGTCCCCCACATCCCGCCACGAGCACGTCGTGCTCGTTCCATCCGGCCTGGATTGTTGATGACCAGCTGCAATGCTGCAGAAGGGACATGCCCCATCGTCTCCACCAGCTTCAAGTTCCGACAGTGTTTCCTGCGGAGAGAGCAACACGAGAGAGCCCGTGGCTGGACGGAACTCGGCCAAGCGGTTGGAGGGTGAAGCTAGAGGTGACATGAGATGGCAAACGGAAAGTACCTTAACCAAGTGATGGTTAGTATGTTCCTGGCCCCATCTTGATGGAACGTCAAAATTAGCCTCTTCGCGGCTGGGACAAAGAAGCTTGAAGCACAACTGGGTCCCATAGATAATGTATTAGAGGCCAACTCAGTTTGATACTGGCCTTCATGACCGCTGACTAGATGGGAATGGCTCCGATTCTGAGCCAGTCTCAATTCTCAATCAGGTCCGACACTTGATGGACCAAAGTGCTGAGCATTCCGTGATGGTGTTCGGCCTTGCCGTGCTTGTCTCTGGGCTGGTTGGGTTTGGGTTGGTATTTGGCTTTCACGAGCTCTGACCTGCTTTCACCAAGCCTCCAGCTAGCAATACACCTCAAGGGCGGTTGTCAAGGGGTTCGGAGCTCTTTTGGTTGTTGGATTGCTTTCCCCCTTCACCGACCCTGAACAATAGGAGACCAACATACCCACTGTATTAACAGTATTAATCCCCCAACCTCGCTGTGGGCGCTTTTCTTGCCAACGCGCCGCGCCAAGGCGCAAATGACGGATGACGCGCTCGCTCCATCCCATCGGCCTGTGTGAGCTCCGAGTGCTGCAGTCCGATGCGGCTGAGATACCACTGTAGCTCTTGCCATCCATGTCGCTCAGGTCGGACTGTGACATGCTATTCCGCGTCTTGGCCGAAAAGCTCCCCGTGGACATATTTCCCCGGAAGGCCTGCTGCACCTGGCGAATCAATCACATCTGCAAGCCGAAGGGTCCCAAACAAATGGCCAAACAGCAGGCATCTAACTTACAGCAAAACAGTCTGCTAAAATGTCCACCGGGTTGCCAGATTCCCACCACAAATAAAGCTCTAGTATAATAACCATAACATATAACAATAACTAACAATATGGCTAGACTGAAGTGTCTGCTGTTCCAACAATGACTCCAACTGTGCAACGTTCATGTTTATATGCTTATGATGTACCTTACAGCCTAACTCTGAAATCTCAAGGATTCATAAAAAAGCAAAAAAAAAGGCAAAACCACACTCACAAAGGATGACCAGGAAATGCAAAAGAAATGCATAAAAAAAAGCAAAAAAAAGGCAGCTGGTAAAAAAGAGTGCATAAAAAAAAGAAAAAAACATAAAAAAGGAAGCAAAAAAAAAAAAAAAGCAAAAAAAAAGCAAAAAAAGCAGAACAGCAGTTCAAAAAAAGCAAAAAAATGCACATGCACAACCAAATTTCACACACCACCTTTTTTGTGCGATTTTTTTGCATTGTGTTTTGCATTTTTTGTGCGTTTTTTTGCATTTTTTTTTTGCTTTTTTTGTGCGTTTTTTTTTTGCGTTTTCTCAAGGAAACGCACAAAAAATGCAAAAAAAATCGCAAAAAAAAACGCAAATACAAAGCAAAAAAAATGCAAAGGCAAAGACCAGAACGTTTTTGATCGCCTTCGTTTTGCTTTTTGATTGCATTTGTTTGCATTTTTTGTGCATTGTTTTTGCATTTTTTGTGCCTTTTTTGTGCATGTTTTTTGCATTTGTTGTGCGTTTTTTGCATTGGTTTAGTGGACAAATGCTTTTTTTTTTCGCATTTTTTTGCTTTTTTTTTTTTGCATTCCAAGGCATCCTTTGGTGACTTGTTTTTGCGTTTTCTGTGCATTTTTTTTCGGGATTGGTTTTGCATTATTTTTGCATTGTTTATGCATTTTTTATGTTTTGCTGTGTCATCAGAACTAGCTTTAGCGTACATCATAATTATATGCCAAGAACAACGAACGGGTCAACATCCCGAACTGCAACCTCACAAAAACATTCTTTTGTGGTCAACGGGCAAGTCGATTGAAGTCAGGATTCTTTGGGATACAACGGTCGCCCAAGCTTCAGCCAACACAAATATGGCAAACATTTCTTTGATCCTGGTTGGTTGGTCCACACCCATTCACCGAATTGCTTTTGAACCTCCACCATCTTGCCACCCAACAAAAAATTCTTTTCCAAACGGCAAAACATCACCAAACACCCCATCGCCACCCAGTCACCCCGTCCGTCGGTCCCTCGTCATCCTTTGTCCCACCTCGCAGAAGTCGGCCAGCGCCACGACAGAAGTGTGAGCTTCAGAGGCACTACTGGGCAGGTGTTCGTCCGAGCCCTGTAGTGCGGATTTGATGTGGAGCGTCTGGGCCTGACGGTTTGATGCACGAATCGGCGGTGAAATGTGCAGCTGAGCGGCGAAAGAACGGTTTGACATGGCATATGATACACCTATAGGTGTAATGCCTACATTGACCCCTGAAACCACCCTAATACAATACATCCGTGTATATATATATTATGACATACATGGAGTGTTTGGGTACTATACGGGTGTTGCAGGCCGCGGTGTGTTCCACTGAGTATGGCCATGGTTCACTGGCATTGCGACCAACGACCGCTGGCGAGACGCAAAGGAGAGGAAACATGAGGAAACTCCCTTATTAAGACCCCAAGTAGATCACCAATATGTATTGGAAATACCATTTCTAGCCTTTGGGAGGAGTACGCCCTACGCCTCGCCCAGCTCCCTCTCTTCGTGGGTGCGCCTGGCTGACGAGGTCGTCCCGCTTCGCGGGCTCCTCGCCGATTCCCTCATGCGCACCGGGCTCCTTTTCATGTGAGCAGTGCCAGCATGCACTGCTTTCTCCCGTCTGCACACCGCCCATCAGCGAGGGTGTCTGGACCACATCACCTAGTCTTCGGGAAAACTCGGTGACTCGGGGTGAAGCGTTTCGGCGACCTGGGACCCGTTCCCCGCGGAACAGCGGAAAAGCTCCGTCCATCACAGTAAGACCCAACTTCGGAAGGAGCGCAAGGAGACCCTGACTGACCTGAGGCTTATCAACCACCACCTGGCTGGTAATTTAAGGAATGTTCATCAACAAATATGCCATAATATGCCCACTTCGAACAAGTTTGGTTCAGTATGGTTCAGTTGTGTTCAGTTCAATCGCACGGGCCCAGCGGCCCAACCAATCGGTTAGCAAATCTACGGATGGATTTTCAAACAAAAGTTATCCGACACATCCGACAGTGACGCGATTAACGCATCTCTTTGCAGAAGTCCAGGTCACAGGCATGGCAACGGAGGCCATTTACTCTGTGCTGTTTGGCCTGCTTGGAAGAACAAGCCGCAAATAGTGGTGCTTTTGCTGAGTTGTTGATGGCCGTCACTGGTTCCAGCAGTGTGTGCTCGATATGTTGATGAAGCAGTGAGGTTGCGAGTTGTCAGGCCTTCAGACCTACTTCACTCGAGCATAAAATCTTTCACACAAAGCATTCTTCAGCTTCTTCGAATGATCAGATCGCTTCCTACGTCTCGAAGCATCCTCGGATCTCGAATCCTGATGTCTGGATGTCCGCGTGTACCCAAGCCCCCCGCCCAAAATGCAATGGATGTACAAAAGCCAGGTAGCCCATGTAGTACCATTGGCCGTCACAGGATGTCCGTCGCTTCAATTGCATGTTCGTAACATCACTTGCACAGATCCACTCAATTACGCCTTGCAAAGATTCAACAAAATCAAATTGATTGGGGCCAGAATTGCCCCCCCAAGCTCTTCTTTCTTGCACATTTCCGGTGGCTCCAGGTCCCAAGAAATCGCCCATGTTCAGACTCTCCCCCATCCAAGGCCTTAGCCAACTACCCATTGGCAGACTAGCCGCCTAGCCATGCTTAATGGTAAACCTCGGCGTATCTTCAAAAGCCTCCCAATGCATCCCCAGTCACTCAAAGGATAACTACAGTAAGTGCATGGCAGGCAACAACAAATGATGATTTTTTAAAGGTCTTGAGAGCTCCTGAGCTTTTCAAGAAGCTCCACGCCACAGTCCCCACGGCTCGCATATTCCATGCACCCGCGCGAACTTGCACCCATCCCTCCTCATAGCCGCCAGAGAGCACGGTGTTCGCGCGCAAGTCGGCCACGTCGAAGCCAGTCTCTCGGTGGTCGCCGTATCATTAAAAAATCAACTCCTGACAGGACGAGTTCGTCCAAACGACACGAGAGGCTCTCGTGAGAGGATTGGTCTGGATTTGCGGATCACATATAATAGCTCAGGTATGGGGTAACCATGGGTCACCTGTGTGCAGGACGCTCTTCAGACGAAACATTGTGACATTAAACTACCATCTGCTTCTCCACCCACAGCGACAACAATTCTCACTCTTGAAACTCTTGGGAGGTTCACGTTTGCCTGCCCAACTCATCCCAACTCAGTGAGAATTGGCAAAATGAAAGCTTCAAATGCTCATCAATTGTCAAACAAACTGAATTATATAACTATATATATAGTTATATGATATAATGGGCTGCTCCAAGGTATTGATTGAATTAGCAAATCGTCCATACACAAGCCAGGAGTGAGACATAGTGAAACCACATTCGATCTCTATTTTGCAATCTTCCTGCCTATCCGTTAGGTTACCCCCCAGTCTGGGATACCTGGGCTAACAACAACCCCTATTTTTGGAAGGAAGAAAGAAGTCTTTCGCAATCCACGGGTAGCGACAGTGGTCGTGTCGTGTGCTTACTCCACCACGTGCCAGCACCAAACATTCCGTGGCATCAAATCCTTGAAAATACAACATCATCAGAACATCGCCTACTCCACAATGATCCAACATGTAATGTGCGCTGTTGATGGATCAATCCCACTGTAGATGGCTGTCCATCCAAGTTAAATATGATGTTTTTTTCGTCTGCAGTCCACATAAGTCTAAGTCTCGGTCCCTCCCTCTCTCCCTCCCTCCCTCTCCCTCCATCGCCTTCAGATCGATTTCTGCCCTAGCTATCCCCAGCTAGGATAATTCTTTTTAGATGCATGGAATGATCAACGCCCTATCTCTGCTGGCACCACCGCGGGTGGGATCAACTGAGGGCCAGGCATATGGATCGAACATCTTCAGCCATGTCACAGGGATCACCTGCATCCATACAGATCACGCAGGGTAGGATGGTCGTTGGGTCATTGAAGCGAATGGGGAGAATTCGGCAATGACTTGTCAATTGCCAATTCTAATGGCAATGACTTGCTATGGTTATTCTTTGCTACACCATGGTGCTTGGCTGATTGCCAACGGTGCTTGGCATTTGGGGAACCATGGGCCATTTTGGTGCTTGGCGAACAGCCTCCGCACGATTCGAAGGTGAACAAACTGCCACAGCTGACCTCATCTGATGTCACATCGCCGTTGTACCATGCGGTACCTATGTTTTCATCATCCGAATCACTTCCCAGCGTGTCAGTCCTTCTAGTCCTTCTATAGTAGTTATTGTAAAGCCAACCAACCAATCTAATTAGCAATCATGATTGAATCAATAAATTGAATGTAACTTAAACCGATCTTTTTGCAAGAGGGAGATCAAATCCCGTCAGGTTTCCTTCGCAAGGTGGTGTGCCCTTGGATTCCGCACATGGGCCAAATGGTTCCAAAATTGATGGGCTGCGGCTGCTGGGTGGAGGCTGCTTTGTGGCCGGAATCATTCATGAATTCATGGAACCACCACCACCGGTGAAGTGCCACCACCCACAACCTTCCAATCTTGCGTTTGCATGCGCACACAGGCCGGTCATGAAGTCATGTTTAATCATGTTTATGTTCAGACTTCATGTGCCATGGGTGACCCGACAGTTCGGCTCAAACGAGCTCAACCGAATCTGACAGCGGAACCCGCTGAGATGTTGAGCACGTCATAGTACGCTTCAGGAATCCAACCTCCAACTGGTCAAAGAATCTTGAGGAATCTGAAGTCCAAGGACCCAGATTCCTCACAGCAACTAGCCATCTGAGGCACCCAACCCAGCCTCAGAGAAGCCCTGATTTCGGATGATCTAGATTGATTGGGGCGATCCCGGGCTCCTCGGAATTCATGAAATGCTAGTCAAAGACTAGAGGGCGGGCATGCGGCTGCCTGGTGTTCTTGCGGTGACTCAGCAGCAAAATGCTTTGAGTGCTTTTTAAGCTCTCAAATCCTGATATCCATGCATCCCTTTTCGCCCACTCCGCGAACAATCCCAGCTCCAAACACGGTCAGTCCGAACCTTCTGCAAACCGCTCAGGAAGGCCGCCGTGTGCCGTTGGAATTGGATGTTCGTCCTGTAGGGGGTCGGTTGGTCGGCGTGATGCGAAACGCCGTTGTCATCATATTCATTGGAAGGGACCAAATGGACCAGGGTTCTTCATCCGAAGGGGCCAGTTCTTCATCCAAGGACTTCTCTCAATGAGGCCCCTTTACTTGGAAAATCTCATAAAATCTCGTTCCTTTTCGGCTCGGGCTGGGAAAATTGAGCTCCGCGTTCCAAGCACCGACTGGGAAGTTCAGTTTCATGGAAGCCTGACCCACCCAGTCTGACGCCGCGCTCGTTGAACCGGCTGGCTTCACTGGGTGAACCAGGAACTCAGGGACAACCCGGACAGGTGAACGGTGAGCCGACTGGTATCGGTTGGTACACCCTCTCTTGGCTGAAGTTGGGGTACTTGGAACAAGAAGATAATCGATTTCACCCTGCAGCCTGCAAACAGTGAGTTGACATTGTGGAACATCCAAGTAGCAAGGTCCTAGTGACAATTACCATGTCATTCTTCCATGGTCATGTCTCTCTCGAAGCTGGCAAAGCAGCCTGTCATTCTGCAGGCCTATAGTTGGCCATGAGGTGCAAGTAACGGGTGAGGTTTTCACGTGTCACCTCAGCTGTTGTCACCTGATATCCCATGGTTTAACAGCTCGGGCTTGCTTTATTGCTTTAGGAAAGACATACATCGATGTGACTTGCAAGAACTAGAGGCCCACAGAGTTGCAGGGAAAACACAAACTCCTCCGACAAACAGGCTCTAGGCATCTCTACCCAAATCCAAGTGGTGGCTTGGTTGCGGGACATAATAGCTTTGCCAAACATTGACTTTGACACAGTCAACCACACTCTTCCGCCCTTTCTACTGTGATCCAGTCTTGTACCCGATATACATACAGGAGTTAAACTGCCGGCATTGGTTGTCAGCTGCATTGTTGTTATCCCGGAGCATGCCCCTGCGCTCATGAACCTCTGGCTCAAGAAAACACAAGCTCTGATGGGCCAATGTTGCATCTGCTCAAGGTGAACACGCTCACAAATACAAGGATTTCAATTTTACAGGCTTAAAGGCTTCTATGCACATGCTTCTAAACAAAACAGAACAACAGGAGAAACACTCGGTGACTCTGCAAGTCCAATGCCACTCACTCCCAGAGATGTGGAGAACGGGTTCTTCCGCAGGCAACCCGCTTTGAGCGGCTCCATCGAACCTCCCAATACATGTTGCTCACCCCACCGAAGGTTTGAACACAGCCAAAGGGCTGGCGTGTTGCTGCCATTGGGGATGAGATTGATATCCTGGAGATGGGCGGGCCCATGGGCCCATGGGCCCAGGGGTACTGGATGACATTAAATCAGCCAGAATCTTGTTGAGCATGGACGTGGCACAAATGAAAGCAATTCAGTAAGGTTGTTCCTCATCTCAGGATTGCTAGCGCCTAGCGAACAGAACAGCAGCCACATCCATTGGTTGCTATCCGTTGCACAGCTGTCAGAGGGTAGTACCAACATGGATCCCGCAATGGCTTGTTTGATCTTGTTTGTGGGAGACACTTGTTCCTTGGACTGGATCGCTGCTTGAGCGAAGGCTAATTTTAACGAATTCCAATGACTATAATATATATCTTATAAGATCTTATAAGCATATATAATATATCCGAGAGACAGGCTTCCAGTGAACCGCCAAATCAGCTCCAAATCCCGTTCCCACCACCCCACCGCACACCTTTTCGAACAAAATCAGTGGGAACTAAGCACCTTGTCACTGGAGCAGGTACCAAGTGGGGGGGCGACTCTACTTTTTCTGGAAAAAACAATCGAGGCTTCCATCCACCAAACATCCCCACCCATCTCCCCCGTGCCTTGTGCATGCCTTTTTCGGTGACTGAAATGCCTTGGGCAGTGCACCTTTTGCAGAAACCAAATATATAAATCATTGTGACATGAGCGTCTGCCAAAACGTACTGTCAAGCAAAGGGCATGAGTCTGTCGAGAACAAATTCCAAGCCAAGCCCACACTTGCCCCGTTGGTGCGTTGGATTTTCAGGGTGCTCTGAAAGCTCGGGAAAGGCCACTCGTGGATCCCTTCAACAGGTCAACAACACCTCCAGTAAACTCCAAAGGTCCTCAGCTGTGATCTTTCTGAACAAGATCAGGTTGGACAAGCTCAACACCATCAGGTTAGTCACTCAGGATCCTGAGATTGTCCCAAGTGGCCCAGGTTCCGCTGAACTGACTGGGATGTTTGATCGGTGGCAATCGGCAAATAAAAAGAACCAACCAACACTCCCTGCTGTATGTAAACCATCTCCTGCAATACAATTCCCATCATTGCCCAAATGCTACATGATTTGCGTGGGCACTTTCCCTGTGAGGCACGTCCCACTTCCGGGCCACTGTCTCCAGGTCCAAGGCACTGAAGGTGATCCCCAACGCCTCCACATCTGGACACTCCTCGCCGGACAGACCGAGGAGTACGAACGTGACCTGACCCGTCGAGATCGGAACATCCCCAACGGTCAGCCGGTCAGGCATGGTGGATTCGGTCTTCACGGAAACCGTTGGTGTCAGTTGCTTCTGAAAGGAGTGGGGAGAGCACAGAGTGGGTGATCCAAGTGATCAACGGTGCTCAAATGGATGTTCCCCAACGGTGCAACAGCCTGAGTCCAGGTCCCGTGGGACCTGCGAATCCAAACACCAAAGCCGGTTCCGCACACGGTCCCACGCGGGCGAATCCTTCACATCTCTGCCCGTCCGATTGAACATCTGTGGCTTTGCTGAAGGGTTGGCTTTTAGGACCGTGAGTGGACTGCGAGAACCCCTGCAATTTCTCATACCACAACACCCCAACTTGTAACTCCAGGCGCTTGTTTAACCGCTCTGGACCGCTCTGATCCCTCTCCCGCTTCAGATCTGTGAAAGCTAAGACATGCCAAGAGCGAACGTCTCATGATTCGTCTCAACCATGGAATGCACGGCTGACTGTGTGCTGCGTTCGTAGGGGCAGCACCCCCATGCCGACAAAATTCGCAATGCAACCTGCACACCTTTGGAATCCAACAACCTGAGGCCTCATCCCATTTTTTCATAGAAACACAATAGGTCCTACAAATACTTCACACTGGAGGTTCTAGAGTCCTTTGAACCCACTCATTTTCAGAGTCTGCGTTGGCCGAAATGGCCTAGAAACGGGGGGGGCCACACAGGTCACATCCAAGGTGTGCAGAGGCCTTTGCCCTTGCCTTCGGCGGTGGATGCTACAACTAATCCTACAATCAGACCGTAGAGGCCCAAGGCTTCCGCGAAGATCCTTACGTGAGACACCCAAGGATAAGTGTCCGAAAGCTCTCTATACTGTATCTATAGCATTAGTTATACTAATACCAGTTACTAGCTGTTGAACAATCATATTGGATCACACTCCAATGGAATACAAAAGCCACATTGCTATACTGCTATGCAGTGATACAGCCTGCAAACACTAGCAAGTCTTGACTGTATAAAGACCAAAAACAAAAACAAACTATATAACTAACCAACGCAGTTTCTTCCTGCTCCTTCATGTCTACAGCCAAGGCACAAGATCAGGATCATCCCTACGAAGAGTCGTGGCTGTTGGGCGTTGGCGCGGACGCCCGCTTCCCCCACGATGCCGATCGCCAGGCCCGCCGCTAAGGAGCTCATCCCCACGGTGAGGCCAGCGCCCAGGTGTGCGTAGCCCGAGTAGGCGGAGTAGCTGGGTGCCTGGGCGAACAGTTCCGCAGCTACTGAGCTGGATGCGGCGTGTTCAGGTGGAAACAAACAGGAGGATCTTTTCATTTTGAGGCGTTAATGGTTGTATAAGGCTTTTTCAAAGGCGTTCGCATTCCAGTTGCGTTCTATGACTTCCTATCTACTCCGACTGTCGGTGTGACCGTGTGACTCTTGACTGGTGCCTACTCCTATCCAGCCGCCCATTTGGCGCGCCCTTCACCGCCTGGATCTTGCCATTGATGATCACTGCGGTGATGAGACCGTAGATGCCCAAAACGCCCGCCATGACCACAGGGATGATGGACTTCATGATCATGTCCTTGAACGAGAAAGGAAAATGAGTCAAACACAAAACAAACATGTCTAAATGGTTCCTATAAATGGTCTTTAGGGGAATCAATGCCGTAATTGATGAATACAATACCCAAGTGAATGCGAAAAACACAGACATATACAGTGAAAGCGAAAAACACATACATATCAGTATATATATAATTACATAATCATTTACGGTATATATATATCACATATACCAGCACCCTCGAAGAGGTCAACTGTAAAAGCCACCTGGCTAGGAGACCTGGCAGGGAGGGTGGTTTTTCACATCCAAACACCGACTGCGACCGGGTGTCCGGTCGCATGACGCCCAAACAGGAGATGCCAACACCTGAACGGGCCGGCTCGGTGTTCCGGCCGAGTGGGAGCATTCCTGCTCGGTGGGTCTTCAGCTGGGAGAAAGCTGATGTGCTGGGTCTTGACAGGAAGAACCTGAGGATCCAAATGTGACTCTGTAGAAGCTCTGGGGCCATACTTTTGAGGATCCCAGCACCATGAATCCTTCCTGGTCTGGACGGTCAGTATTAGAAATGTATAGAGTACATCAGGTGAACTGTGTGAGTGCTCTCTCATGAGTAGTTGAGAGCGGCCTGATTTGGCAGTCCCGTAGGCGGCACCCATGTTGGCGAAGACCAGTGCCGAAGTGACGCCCAAAAAGCCGAAGAAGGTCGAGGAGGGATCGCACGGCTGCATGGCAGGAGCTTTTCTCTCGTCACGACGTGACTGACGTGACTGACGCGACTGCGCAGTGCTCAGCTGGCGCGTGTGCTCTACGGGTCAAATCTCTCTGAAACAGCTTGAAGAGGCAAAGCAAACTTGAGACCTGCCGCTAACTCACTCTTTTCCCGCGGTCTTCCCCGGTATTCCCCCAGCTTAACGTGATTCATGACAATCTAGTTTTCTGCTTTCATTGGATCAACATGTCCCTTGGCCAGCAGTTCTTTCGATGCCCAATCTGTGTCCCCTAAAAAACAGCTCGTCACGGAAAAAGAAGTCACCGCGGGCCGGGGGCATCCTTGATCTGCAGCATGTTGCGGTGGAGCTCTTTGTCCAAGGACGCGATGTCATCCACCTTCCATGCACTGTGGAGTCCGCAGAGCACATGGAGCACGGAACCAAGCAAAGTGATGGTTCAAAACAACATTGCTGAAAAATGGCTTACAGTATCTTACAGTACTCCTTACAGTAATTGAATATAGTCAAGAAACGTGATCTAAGAGTCTAAGAACCTGATGCCTCTTGACCAAGGTCTTCTGTCGACGGAAATCATCAAGAACGCAGAAGTACGCACTTAAAATCACTTAAATGGCCCACGAAACCACTGAGCGCCCGTTCAATCCTATACCCACCAAGCACCAGTGCCCCCCTTCCCTTCATAATTGCGTCAAAGCAATGTCTTGTACGTTATATTAAAAACAGGTCTAATTAGTGGCCAACCTAGCCAGGACCCACCTCCTAGCCACTTGGGAATAACTGCTGAGCCTTTCTTGCGAGTCAGCTTGGTGATTCACAAAAAAACGACCGCCTCGTTGATTCGACCGAGCACTCGGTTGAGAAACACCCGGCTGAACTGAGGTTCCAAAAGGATCATCTCGTAGATCGCCTGCGCGATCTCCGCGGCACGAAACGCTCAGCGGTCCGCAACGCACAAGCCGCCGCTGCCGCCAATTGTGCTGCACGAGCCGGGGGGGGTTAGCAGTTGTGCTGATGTGCTGGACCTTAGAATTGGAGGTGCGAACAAATCAACACCCTGCATGATTCCTGGCATGGGCTTTATGATGCTTTATGTAATTAAACTCTCTATATAATATTTTAGTTAGGGCCACTATGACCATGCACCTCTAGTCTAGGGCCTCAAGTGGTGAACCCATGAAACTCCAGGCAGAGGGGGGACTTGCAAAGTCTTCTATGAACCTGCCAATAGATCCAGCAAGGGCAGCATGACGGCACATCTTGGGAAGGTTGCCGCAACCTTAAATCAGGTCCAGCCACGCTGCGTTTGGGAATTTATGTAATAGTCCCTTCAACCTTACACGCCAAAAGCTCAAGAGAGAGTGGGCCGTCCGTGTACACGTTCATATCCTTTCACTTTCATCAGCAAGATCTACTGGGCTTGAGGATGGTGAGTCCCTCGCCTAGGTTGCACAATTCCACTGCCCAACAGCCATAGGCATGAAGGTTGGCCACTTCGACCCCTTGCTTCTTCCGCCCTCGTGGCATGTCGTGCCTCGTCTGGGGATCTCTTGGCATGGAAAAACACCTGGACCCATTTCCGGGGTCGTTTTTCCATGCCAGGAGATGAAGTCTGGTACTGGGTCTGGTAGTAGCTGATCGTACATGAAGGATATGGAGGATACATAGATGAGATGCATATTGGTGACATGAAGTGCAAAACACGTCTACATGAATCAAACTCATCCCTGGAAACTGGCTGCGCCTTCCCAACAACCTTCCCAAGGAATATGTACAGGTCAGCCGCTTGTGGAAACCTGCAGGAAAGCCGGCAACACTCCACACATTTTCAGCGTCATGTGCAATCGGTAAGTGGCTATGTGTGGCTCAAGCCCTCATCTTCCTCTTGTATAACCGTATAACCTCTTGGAAAGGGGAACCAGCAGGTCTCGCAACCATGTGGGCATGCTTCCGGAAGCCGTTCCAAAAACAAGAGTGGAACAAGTACAGTAGGAAAACAAGTACGGTTGGGGCCATCCCTCATTTTGATACCAACCAACCGATCAGCAAAACACCGGCGAACCATCAGCACATCCAACTCTGACAGTCCAGTGGAAACGAAGTCCGGGAACTCTGTGCCAGCAACATGTCCGTTCGTGGCCATAGTTCCCCCAAGAGCTCCCTTCCGTGGACTTGTGCAAATGACTTGTGGACATGTGTTTCTGCTCCTCCTGAGTCCCGAAAGAAGAATCCCTCACCAAACCCTCCACACACCCCAAAAAGAGTTGGTACATCCTTGGATCCCTTGGCCATCCAAAAGCACTCCGCAACTCCCCTCCCCCCGTGTCTGTCCACACTCCTGTCATATGTGTGATTGGCCGGTCATGTATCGGTCAGGAAGTGGAGGTCACCCATGAGTCGTCACTTTCATGTACTCGAGCCCTGGCGAACAAATCCAATATATTACCCTTCCTGCAACAATCATGGAAGGGGAAAATAGCCTGTTCGTAGAGGAAAGCGCCCTTCCAAGGGACCATATTCCACTTCCATGTTTGTTGGATGGAAGGTAACGCAATCCAAGTGGTCGTCCAACAAGGATCTGGCACAGCGTATCGGCGTACTACAGTAGCACGGGCACCAAGCGCATCATGTCTGTGTTATATTGTATATGGGAGTTGATCTAAACTCCTTTATCCGGGATCCATCTTTTTCGCCAAAAAATATTACTTTAGCCAAACTTTCGCCTTCCTGCACTTTATCTTTCGCCGAAGTATGTTGTCGTATTTATGTGTGCCATGTATGTTGTGTTTTGTTCACGTAAATGGTTTCTTCTTTACTGGCAAACACAAAATAGAAACTTCACTGTTTGTCAGCATGTGTCTTCTACTTAACTGTTGACACCCTGTACGTCTTTTTTGTTTGTCCCGAGTGTCAGCAAGAATGAAAATTGCAAGAATCACTGTAGTTGCCGGTCACTCAAACTTACTCATAATGGGCTGGGGGTCAGATGTGGCAGGGTGAACTTTCGCCAATCTTGAGCTGAATTTTCGCCAAACTTTCGCCTTTTGCGGGGTAGAGTTTTGTGGCAAAGCCACCCCCAAAGCAGGAGCAGGATTAGTGGTAGTAGTACCTGCAGCCTGAAACATCTGCTTATAAATGGTCGAAGACTGTTTTCAATTTAGAAGTGGTCTTTCGTAGAAAACCCCGTTCCCAGGCCCACACCAACTGACACAAAATCTCACTTTTAACTCGGGTCAGGCCTGGCATCATTGACTAATGCATGTTCTACCGCTGTAAGATATCTGTACAACGTCTTCAATCCCTGCACTCGAGGTGATACCCTGCGTGACAGCCGTGCTACTCTTCCGACAAAGTCCTCACATTGGAAAGTAGAAAATGCGATGGGGTTGCAAACAGCGCCCAACTTGTGTTGTTGAAACATCGCTAGCACCAAGTGAGATAGCCCATGCCCTTTTGGCTTCAGTTTGTACAAGCATTTGCCAAGCTTGTAGGATTGTTTTGCAAGTTCACCATAGATCTTCAAAAAAGTGTATCCTGCAGAGATGGCTCTGTGAGCATCATCCATCTCTAGAAAAAAACCTGAAGCAAATAGAGTTCGGAGAAACACGCCCATCGACACACAAGCATCGCGAATCAAAGTCAGCATTGTATCCTGTGCATCTCCGTGAACGTGTTCCTCTGTAAGCCATTCAATCAGTTTTGTCACTTTTCCTGTGTCCATCCCTTTCGACCACTTTGCAAAAGGGTAGATCCTAGGCCCTTTGTACCCCAATAGGTCCCAAGTGAGCTTGCCGAAGTGCACACGCTCGCATGTGTGGCTTTTTTGGAAGCGTTGTAGCTCTTGATTGAGGAACTGCATAGAATCCTCCTTGGAACGCTGTTTGAGCACCCCCTGCAACATGTACACTAGGGAGCTTGCGCAGAAATCTTTTCCAACGCCTGCATAGTATATATGAAACAGGTCTCCCTTGAAGAAATTGGCCAAATCGTTTTGTTCTGCAGGTAAATGAGAAAATAGCGGACTTGGTTCATCACATGGGAGTATGTTTCTTCTACCCATTGTGGCAACCCACTCCGCAGATAGAAAGTCCAAGTCTTCATATGGTGGTCCATTGCTTTTCCCAGCAGCGCATAGATGGCAAACTCCAGGCAACAAGGTTTGTGCAGTGGAGGATTTGCGGACATTGCTGAAACTCCTTGTCATTAAACCAGCGTCTCGGAGAAACGGTGCGTCTCCAGTCATTCCAAGAATTGCAACCTTGAAAGTGTGACCTGCATGCTGAAATCCAACATTGAACAAATCAGCTAGCTCCCGCCCCCAAAAGTTCATCAAATCATAGAAGACTGTTTTGTCAGCCTTGATATAGTCATTGTGTATCGCAGTCAATAGAAACCGGTTTCCAAGTGAACTTCCGAGCATATTGACGCCCATGGCCACTTCATCCAGTTTTGGATCATGCAGCCGGCGTTTGGTCCCACGATTTTGAGGCCCGGTTTGCGAAGGCTGCATGTCGGCCACAGGCCGCTTCGATGTTCCCATTCCCAAACACGGGAACATTGATGCAATCATTATACTGTCCTTCTTAAAGGTGCGCCCACCATCACCATGCAAATAGTATGGGATTACGTTGCCATAGTCTTGGAGACCACATTGGAAAACTTCGTGTTCCGGGAATGCCACCCGGAATCTCTCCCAGAAAGCTTTGAGACCATCATGGGCCCTCTCCAATGGCATGCCAATGATTTTGTGAATACACCCTCGATGAGCAGTGGCATGTATCATATCTTTTGGATTTAGGCACGGATATTCTAGCTTTTCTTCCCCCAGCATGATGTTCTGCACACGAACGTTTAGAGCTTGGCCGCATCCAAGAAGTGCTTTAAACAAAGGTGTGTCAGCATCTTCCAATCGTATGGAAGCTATCTTGTGGAGGGTCGGGCAGTCATCGCGTTTGGAAGCCGCCACGGCTTGCTCCACGCAGTCGGCTGCAGGAACCTGAAGTCAGAGAGATACTAGCCACCATTCATAAGTCCTTTTTGCCTTTAGTGCATGTATTTTGCACACTTTGAGAATGTTTGAGCAGCTTCAAGGTTGTGCAATTATATTTTTTTGCAACCATTGTTTTGAAAGCTACAGCAAGTTTACTGATCGCATTCGGTTTAAAGTTTCACTGCAGGTTGGAGCCAAGCAACACCACGGCTGTAGTTTTTGCCAATGAGCTTGACTGTGTCACTCAGCGGAATGGGCCCTGGCATCGTAGCACGTTGATGGGACATGATGGGAAGATGGTGAACAGGGGCAAGAACCATGCAAGTTTTCATTGCTGCATGTCCTCCTGCTTGCATGCTTGTCTACTTTGCATGAATCAAGAGTTTCCGCGGTGAAATTGGAATAGGGCCGCCTTTCTTCAATCGGCAAACGTCGACAGTCCATCCCAGAACCCCAAGCCAACTCAGGTTCTAGAAGGTGCTCTTTCCACCCCCATGCCCAAGTTGGGAGACCCAACATGCATCCGGCCAGCTGTATACCACGGATGCAAATTTCATAACATCTAAGATTCACGCTCTTCCTTTACATGCTTCAACTTCCTGGCCTTCACCACAAATTGCCTCATTGAGGGAAAACATCTTTAGCCAAAAGATAAACACAGTACACACGGAGTTCAAGCAACCGCGATGTCACAGACCCTACATCAGGATGTCGCTTTGCAGCTGCTTCAGCGCTGGTGGCTCGCACAGTCCTTACACAATGGATGGATTGCAAGAGGCTTGGCACTATTTTCAGGCCGGGGTTGAAATCGGGTGGACACCCTTTAGAGAGCCAAGTGTCTCCTTGCTAACTTGTTTGTAGGCCATCTCCAACTTGTCACACATCCTTGAGATGGAGCCAGTTGCATTGAGAAAGAATTGTTCAATGCAAACTTTGGGCAGCAAAACTGTTCTAATTAGAATTGCACCTGGGAACCAAAGCAACCAGAAACAAATGGTTGTTCCAATATGGCAATTGAGATCCTTTACATAGGAAGTGGCTGTTTGGGGGGGAACATCCATTTCTTTCTGTAGGGTGTTTGGGTTTCAAGGAAGCGCCCTCTTCAAATTATGTTTGGCAAGACTTTAGCCTAGAAACTCCTTTGTGTACCCATTGCTGCCACCTTCTGCTTGCATATCCGCCAACTCATCGTAGAGTTTCTCAAGGCTCTTTTGCGTGGTGTCCATCTTGGATACTACCCTGGGCATTGCTGGGCTGAGGCAGGAAGTAAACTGTGTGATCATGAACTGCAGGAGACCACAATTAGTACAAGGGGCGTAGCACAGGATGTGTCGACCTTTGCTAGATCGCGAAGCTTGTCACTGGTGTTGGTAAGGCTTGACATACTCTTCAAAACACCCTTCATAGTGTCAGGAAGCTTGCCTGGTGCCTTGGGTCATGAAAACCACAAGCGGGTGCTGTTGAAACTTCATGCACTGTGCACGATGGGTTTCTTATTTTAACTTATATACTTGCATTCGCGTTGCAGTCTTGTGTGCATCACCTTCCAGTGTCAAGTTTCCAGCTGCGCCTAAGTTTTCAAAACCCCCGGGGTTCATGTCCATGGTTGGGAAGTCATCCAGCTCTGCGTCCTGCTCAAAGGATCTCTTTCGGGAAAGACGTTCCACGTCCTCCCTCTTCAGTGACCCTTCAGTACGCGTGTTGACCCAATACTCCATCGTGGTCTCGTCGTATTCACGCAACCTAAGGCACATTAGATGCATGCATGGACATAGAATAATGGCACCCTTGAAGGATCAATTGAAA